GAACGATTTCGAATTGGAAAACGCCAAGACATTAGGCAACGTTTTTGCTGTAGTTGTTCGCCCTTTGTCATCATAATTCTTATCGGAAAACTGTATGGAAGAAGACGAAAACGCAAATTATGAAAACCTACTCCCATTGCAACAAATTGCACACAGTAGATAAACGCCCACTAAATAAACGAAACAAAGGCAGAAAAAAACAAACATGTATTGATTTTTTTCTTTTCCTTAACTTTTTTTCTGTGTTCCCTTTTTTTATTGCCAAGCTGTGAACGGAGGTCGAAGTTGAAAACGAGTGTGTGTGCGAGTGTGTAGGTATGTAAGTTGGTGCAATTATTAATCACCATGAGCACCATTGTTCACCCAAAAAATACAAACCTTCAGCAATAACTCTTTTTACACGCAATTTACGGCCATTGATTTCAACTATTTGACCACAAAAGTCATTTTCCTGCAACGACGACGATGAACTTCTGTACGTGTTGTTGACATTTACGGATGAGCCACCACTATTTGGCTGTGATGTGTTGTTGCTAGTATTCGTTGATGCGTTTGTTGGGTTATTAAAATAACCCATAGCAGATTTAAAAAATTCACTCATTCTTTACTTTTTTGTTATTTTTCACGGTTCACTGTTCTATTACACCAAAGCGTTAATTTATTATATTTTTAATTCACGTCTCCACTGCTATCTTCCTTTTCTTCGATATAAAACAAAAAATCAAAATATGAACCCAATGAAAAGACTGACTTTGATGTCAAAAAAATCAGTGTTGCTAATGTGATGAGTATTTGGATAACGGGTAATTTATAAGCACATGTGCGACCTATTTCAAATGAGCTGGCATTGCTATTTTTCGATAACAGCTGTTGGCTGGCTTCTGGTTAGGTAAAGAAAAAAATAGTTATTTTCCATTCCATGCAAGAATATTACAATTTTGCAACTTGTTAGTTCTAATTTGTTCCTTTTTACAAAATAGCAGCACAATGAAATTTTAAATAGAAAAGGAGCAAATTAAATATCATGAAGATTACAAAATCTTTGTTCCAGAATCTGCAAGAATCCATGATATAACGAAGACAAGGTAGACTAGCTTTGAAAAAATTGCAGGTATAGAGATCCACCTGTTTGGCTTGTAATGTCCGAAATACAATCAAAAAACCAGTGAAAACCGCGAAAACTGAATGAAAGGTCAAATGTTCTTTACATCATGGTATCATGTCCTACAAAATGCAAGTCGGATTTTTTGTCCGATTGAGATGAAATTTTGCAAACAAAATTTGTTTGCCCAAGGAGGAACTCTATTGAAATTGGTGATAATCAGATCAGATTTAGATAACTCCCATATATCTTCACCCAATTTCGGGGTATTTGTGCACCAAAAGGCCAATATAAGTCCAAAATGACCTGAATTTTGGCACATCCAACCGAATTCAGTCTAGAAGCAAGTACATCAAATTTGGTGGAAGTCGGTCAGATATAGCAATATCTCCCATATATATGATACTTGGTACCAGATATCAGATACGGCTCAGAAATACCTCTGCCAAATTGTATCAAGATCGGTTTGGATTTGGATATAGCTGCCATACATATCTTCAACAGATTTCGGGTTAATTGGTTCAGGTATAGCTATAGCTCCGATATATATGTTTCATCCGATTTGGTGTTTTAGTTCCCCACACTCGTAATATGCATTGGACAACAATGATATTTGGTAACAGATATCAGATACGGCTCAGAAATACCTCTGCCAAATTGTATCATTATCGGCTCAGATTTGAATATAGCTCCCATATACATATATCTTCAACCGATTTCGGGATTATTTTGCACCAAATGGCCAATATCAGTCCAAAATCCTGCATTTTGGCACATCCGACCGAATTCAGTCTAGAAGCAAATTTGGTGAAAATCGGTTCAGATATAGCAATAGCTCCGATATATATGTTCCATCCGGTTTAGTGTTTAAGTCCCTCACATTCCTAATATGCATCCGACAACAATGACATCGACTGCGACATATATTTTTTAATATAATCCTTCTCGAAGTATTATCATGCACTCTATAGCCATTTTATTTGGTATAAAAGGTTAAAATGTCTCCGTCAAATTTAGTGAAAATCGAACTGGAATGAATAAGGGGTAGTAAGTACATAAACAGCTTAAAATCTTCGCATGGCACATTTTGTGACATATCATAAAGGGATGCCAGGCTTTATTAATATTTATTCTTTTTTTCACAATATTCTTATATTGGGGAATACCCGCGAAACAAGAATGGAATTTCGGGGTTATTCCACAAGTTTGAATCTAAAATAGTACAATTTGTTACTCTTTTATGTAAAAAATTTGCATTTATTTTGCAAGCAAATTTGTTTTTATTTTTCAAAACAATAAATAATAAATTGGGAGCAAGTTGAGTTTAGGGGCTATGCTCGGATCATTTTGAAATTTTTACCGCAGGTAGGTATTTGTAACCTGATTACGGCAATGTAATTTTTTTGTGGGGGAAATACCCGGTTACACGGTTATTCGACCCAAAAGTTCGAATACAACATCCGGTTTGTATCCGGTTCTACGTAACCGATATCAATAAAATGGGTATCATTTGAAAGCTTATGAAAATACCTATCCAACAAGTGGTCATATGACGGGGTAGCTGGAACCGGTTTCGGAGAAATTTAGGAAAATTTGCATTTTTGTATGAGTACTTTTTGAAAAACCTATAAAAACTCGAAAATGGACCCATTATAGGGTCTTAAAATCTATACACTATATTATAGCTAACACTATTGCCTTTCCAAAATGGTGTCATATGTGTTGATATCTTTTGTGGTTCCGTGGATATAAGAGATAGAATTCATTAAATTATATTTTTCTCCAGTCTAGATGCATTTGACTTTGACCTTTATAGCTTTTTTAAGCAACCGGCCTTCGGCCGAGGCTAAAGATTTTCTCCTCTGCGGTATGTCCAACACCGGCTACGCGATCCATAGTTTTTCTAAAAATTGTACATTTTGTAAGTAGCCGGCCTTCGGCCGGGGCTTAAGATTTTCTCCTCTAGGGTATGTCCAACACCGGCTACGCGATCCATAGTTTTTCTAAAAATTGTAATTTTTGTAAGTAGCCGGCCTTCGGCCGGGGCTTAAGATTTTCTCCTCTAGGGTATGTCCAACACCAGCTACGCGATCCATAGTTTTTCTAAAAATTGTAATTTTTGTAAGTAGCCGGCCTTCGGCCGGGGCTTAAGATTTTCTCCTCTGGGGTATGTCCAACACCGGCTACGCGATCAATAGTTTCCTAAAAACTGTAGTTTTCGAAAGTAGCCGGGCTTCGGCTGGGGCTTAAGATTTTCTCCTCTGGGGTATGTCCAACACCGGCTACGCGATCCATAGTTTTTCTAAAAATTGTAATTTTTGTAAGCAGCCGGCCTTCGGCCGGGGCTTAAGATTTTCTCCTCTGGGATATGTCCAACACCGACTACGCGATCCATAATATTCTAACAACACCAAATTAAAAACAAAGCAGATTAACAAGAACGTTATAGCATGTTTCCATTGGAAACCGAACAACGTTGTTCGCTCTCAGAATTAGGTACACGAATTAACCCGTTCATACGGCACGATTCGTAATTCATAGTAAAATAATTCCTTTTTTTCAAAATTTTGTTTGTTGATTTTAATAGGAGTTTATACTAAAATACATTAAATTCTCACTAATATGGATAGAAGAAATGATTATTTTTCTCCCAAAGATTTATTAAAACACTAATTTTATAATTTTCATTCACGTTTCCAACTTTTTGTGTGAATGTTGACATTTTGAACATATTTTTGTATTTTTCTATTTTTAAATTCTGCTGGAGAGACACTTGTCAAACATTTTTTCTGTTGATACAAACATTTTGAAAATATTGCCTCTTTTGTTTCCTGTTTTCTGTGGCAATTTCAACCCGTGGACAAAATGCGTACCTCGGATGAGAGAGAAAACAAAATTTACTTTCGTTTGAATGTACATAGGCTATTCTACATTGTAGTTTTCATTCATAAATTTCAGTCTTCCTAAAATTTTTCAAAATTTCATTAAATTTTTCTATTTTCAATTTTTAAATGTCATAATTAATTTTTTCGATAAATGCTCTCATTTGTTAGGGATGGGACATATTTTTTCGTTGTTCTGAGAGTGATTTGATTTGAACAATGTACAAATATGAGTGTTCGCTCAGGAAATTTTGTGTGAAGAATTAAGTAGTTTTTTCATAGTTAAGGGTCAAACAACGAATAGAGAGCGAATCAAGTGCAGTGGAAACGCCACATTAAACCCGACACAAAACTTGGGTTCACTCAAACTGCTTTCATAAGTAACGACTTTAAAAGTCAATATCTTCGGAACTACAAAAGATATCAACACATATGACACCATTTTGGAAAGGCAATAGTGTTAGCTATAATATTGTGTATAGATTTTAAGACCCTATAATGGGTCCATTTTCGAGTTTTTATGGGTTTTTCAAAAATTACTCATACAAAAATGCACATTTTCCTAAATTTCTCCGAAACAGGTTCCAGTTACCCCGTCATATGACCACTTGTTGGATAGCTTTCAAATGATACCCATATTATTGATATCGGTTACGTAGAACCGGATATAAACCGGATGTTGTATCCGAACTTTTGGGTCGAATAACCGGGTAACCGGGTATTTCCCCCACAAAAAAATTATATTGCCGTAATCAGGTTACAAATACCTACCTGCGGTAACATTTTCAGGTCAATCCAAGCATAGCCCCTAAACTCAACTTATGCCATAAATTGTGCCATACTTTTTATTTAATTTTTTGCAGCAACTTTCTAATTTCTATATTTACAACTGCTGATGCATCTACTTGCCTTATTTTACAATTTTTGTATTTTTTCAATCCCGCAAATGAAATTCGTCGTTGTTGTCTGGGTGCAAATTTTGTAGCTAGTTCCGAGCTCTTTTAGTGAATGAGTTCAGTTTTCGTTATATCTCATTCGTAAACAACAGAGGTCTCTCGGAGTTTTTGCTTTTTATGTTTATTTTTATCGAGTATTCCTTTTGGCCTTATATTCGTTTCATTGGGGACGACTTCATTTGGTTTCCCAGGCGCGCATTCGCTCTGTTCTGCAACAAAGCAACAACAGGACAGAAGCTTTAGAGGCAAAACTCAAACACAATAACAAACAACTCACCACACATTGGTGGCAACTCTCTAAATTTCAATGAGGTTCCCAATTTTGTTTGTATTATTTATAAACCTATTGCAATTATTAAACATTACCGCGGAGACAATACAACAGGATGTCACTTCAAAAGGGATGTGTACGGAAGAGACAGCGAATGGATGTGAGGACAGCAGTAAAGCAGAGTCTACAACTAATAATCGAAATGACGATGCAGGTAATATTTACAAAAATATTTTATTAATTTTTCTATATTTGTTAATTAAAGTAAAACTTATTAATTATAGCTTCTCAACGCATTGTTTCGAAAATTGAAAAGACCTGGGTGAAATACAAATCTTGTTCCGCTGAACCGCAAGATCCCAAATGTGAGTGTCATCAAAAGGTGTGGCAAAAAGATCTGGAAGTATTCCAAAAGCAGAGCATAACGAAACAAAACATAAAAGATGCCACCAAATTTGGCACACTTTACAAAATTTTCAATCAAAAATTGTATCGAACGGCGGATTGTTTTTTCCCGGCTCGCTGTGAGGGCATAGAGTATTTTCTGTTGAAAATTGCTCCCTCGTTGCCAAATATGGATTTTGTGGTGAATACGAGAGATTATCCACAGGTCAGTGGAAGATTTGCTAGGGACGTGTTGCCGGTATTTTCCTTTTCGAAGACCAGCGATTATCGTGACATCATGTATCCAGCATGGACGTTCTGGGCTGGTGGACCCGCCATTAAACTATTTCCAACCGGCATTGGAAGATGGGATATACAACGAGAGAAAATCAATAAAGCTGGTCTAGAATTTCCCTGGGAAAAGAAAATTGCCAAAGGTTTCTTTCGGGGTTCGAGAACCTCACACGAGAGAGATTCGTTGGTACTGCTTTCACGTTCGAACCCCAATTTAATTGATGCTGCATATACCAAAAATCAAGCCTGGAAATCGCTCAAAGACACCTTGGATGAAGAGCCAGCACAAGAAGTCTCATTTGAGTATCATTGTCAGTTTAAATATCTTTTTAACTTTCGTGGCGTCGCCGCCTCATTTCGCTTCAAACATTTATTCTTATGTCGTTCTTTGGTCTTTCATGTTGGCAATGAATGGCTGGAATTCTTTTATCCGGCTTTAAAACCCTGGAAACATTATGTGCCACTGGACAAGAATCCCAGCCAAAGTGAAATTAAAGAAATCATGGAATTCTTTCGTCGAAATGATGATTTGGCCAAGAATATTGCAGAGGCTGGTTATGAGTTTATATGGCATCATTTGCGAATGGAAGATATTGAATGTTATTGGAAACATTTGATGACGAATTACTCCAAACTATTGAAATATGAAGTAGTCGAGGATAAAAGTCTGATTGAAATAAAAGAGAAAAAATCGAATAATCAGAAAAGAAGGCGCTCGGATGAGTTTTAAGCAAGTTTATTGGATTGGAAGAATGCGGAAATCTCTTTAAATGTATTTTTTACATTCCATAATTCTTATATACCTATACAATATTTTTTTGTATTAAAGTTTTGCTGCAAAATATGCAAACAAACTGACTGGCGTTTTGGCCTAACTCAGGATTAAGGTCCATATTCAAATATAAAATATTTAGGAGGGTCACATATGTTTTTAGGCAATAAATGTATTTATAATATATCTCTAATAAGAATTAATAAAATTGTCCTGTTCTTATGCTAAAACTACAAATTATTTATCCGGCAGAAATTAATAGAAGTAGTTCCACGTTATTAAAGGCTTTCTCAGGCTCCTTTGTATGATTTTAAAGAGAGTACTTAGATATAGCAAGTTGTAAAGAATAGACGACTTGTTTCGCAAGTCATGACAGATAAAAGTATTGGAAATTGTGACCCTTTGTGGGTTAGGTAACAGAAGGGGTTCGCAGATATATATCATCTTCACAACAGATCCTGTATTAGCAAAAATATTTGGATGAGTGACATTTGAAGAGAGTTGGATGGTTATTTCGCTTTCTTTAAGCGTTTTGTTTTCAAAATCCTGAACCCTATGTGGAAGAGGTACCAGAAGAAATGGTCCGATTTCTACCATCTTTATAATAGATCTTGTGTTGATGGAAATATTGAGATGTACCAAGTCTGAATGGAACCGGATATTTATTTCGCGCTTTATGAACTTCATAGATATTAAAAATTGTTGCCCTTTGTGTGAGAGGTACCAAAAAGGAGTGGACCAATCTCTACCATCTTCACAACAGACCTTAGATTAATAAAAATATTGTGATGCAGGTAATTCGAAGAGAACCGGATGCTTACTTCGGATTTTATAGCCGTTGTTGTTATTCAAAACTTTGACCCTTTGTGGGGGAGGTAGCAGAAGGAGTAGTCCCATCTCTAACATCATTATAACAGATATTGTGTTGAAAGAAATATTTAGATGTGTCAAGTCTGAATGCAATCGGATGTTAATTTTGTGTTTTATGAGCTTCATGGATATTCAAAATTTTGACCCTTTATGTGGGACGTACTTGATGGAGTGGACCGATATATTCCATCTTCACATCAGATTAAAAAAAAATATTAATAAAGATATTGTGATGTGTGTAATTTGAAGACAATCGGACTATTACGTCATATTTTATAAGAGTTATAATTATTCATTTTTTGCCCCCTTGTGAGGGAGGTACCAGATGGGGTGAAGTAGCACTGATGCAAATATTAGAATTTGCAAAGTTGGAGCAAAATCCTTTCTCTTTCTGTGCAATAAATTATTTTCTTTGAAAATGTTGACATTTTGTGGAGGGAGGTACTAGAAACAGTAGACCGATATTGCCGATCTCCGAACTCGATCTAACTTTGACAATAATATTACGTAGTACCAAGTTTGGATGAAATCTGGTACTCCCCTCGAGACAGACAGACGGACGGACATCGCTAGATCGACTCCAAATGTCCTGAAACGGATTTAGTCCAAAGAGACCTAGGTTCTAAAACCGTTATTTCGATAAGGCACGTTTTGGCCGTATCAATTGATATATATACTCTCCTGCCATATGGCTGAGGGCATAATAAAATTGATTAATAAAAACATAACCTGAGAGCATTTGGTTTATTGTGTAAATCATGAAGTCTTACAGTTTTTAAACTTATCCCTTTGATAAAATCTCTCAGTCAAAAGGAATATAATATTGTAAACATATGATTGCACATTAAAATCATTCTAAAATCAAAAATTATCTAACACACTGATTTAAGTACACACGCAGGAAGGAATCCATATAAAGGAGTTTGTGTTAGATTATAAGAGGCTCGATAACCATCTTTATTGCCTTTGTACTGGATGTGCAATACTATTACTTTGCCACTGCTCCATTGCGGCCATCGTTGAGTCTGGTGGCCTTTTATCACCAAATTTTTATCATCGTCCAGTGAAATTGTTTCCTCTCTACTAGAACCATCTACAAATACGCTAGAGAATAGAATATAAAATAAAAAATTAAAATATTCACTTGATTGTGTCAGAGGTATATTTACTTAAGTTTCCCTAAAGAGGCAGATTCTGAAATAGACATTAAGGCTATTGCCATCAATGTACAGACAAAGAATATCTGAAAAATAAATATTACGAAAAAATTAATTAAACAATTTTGTTTTGCATATTTTGTTTGTGTTGGGATGCCGTATTTATTTCATTGTTGCATAGTCAGGTATTGTTTATGGGATCGGTTGTAGGATTTAGAAGAAATGTTAATTTTCTTTATTACGGCTGAGCTTGTTTTTATTATCGGAGATGTTTTTTTTAAAAAAAAACAATGGAACTTACTGAGAATTAGCGATTCATTCTAAATACATCTTATCTTTTGGTAAACATTGCCATTTTTCTCCACCACACAATGTATAAACATTGTTTTTATTAGCACAACATCAATGAAAATGAGCCTGACTATTTTGCAAAAATTTTATTTTATTTTAAACTTAATACCTTCAAAATCATTGTTATGCTGTCTTCTCTTGCAAAGGTGCGACTAGTTAGTTGTTAATAAATATCTTCACTATTTATATTAAAACATTTCTTATTTCTGACAAAAACTTGTTTTAGAGATCACCTTAATATCCATCCATCAGTCAATATATAACCATTGTTTTTATTAGTACAACATCAATGGAATTGAGCCTGACTTTTTTGCAACAACAAAACTTATAATTTTTTACATAATTAACTTTGTTTTATTTTAAAACTTAACACCTTCATAATCATTGCTATGCTATCTTCTCCTACAAATGCGCGACTAGTTAGTTGGTCATAAAATCTTCACTAATTACATTTAAACATTTTATTATATTCTGGCAAAAACTAGTTTTAGAGATCACCTAAACATCCAAAGGCGCACCTATTCACACATTTCTAAGTGCTTGTGGTTCCCAGCAAAATATTTGAATTTTTTTAAAAAAAAAGATTGAAGTTATTTGAAATTCAGTTGGGAAAAACCTATTTTTGCAGTTAATGGATAAAAAATGATATCCTTCAATTCCATATATGTTTTCTGTTTTTTTCCCTATATATGAATTTGTAAAAAAATTTAAAATAAACTGATTCTAGTGCAGAGTTAAAAGTCTGATTGAGATCAAAGAAAAAGAGTCGAATAATCAGAAAAGAATAGTTTTTTTATATTAAAATATGCAAACAAACTGACTGGCGTTTTGGATTAAGGTCCATATTCAAATATTAAATATTTAGAAGGGTTTAGGCAATAAATGTATTTATAATATATCTTAAAGAAATATAATTAATAAAAAATGTCCTGTTTTTAGGCTGTAGTTTTAGCCTAAAAATTTATTATTCCATCAGAAATTAATATAAGTAGTTCCACGTTATTTAAGGCTTTCTCTGGCTCCCTTTGTATGATTTCAAATTAAAATAAATATTACAACGTGGACTATATCGACTAATTCCTTCACTTTATATGAGATATGTGCAAATTTTTGGAAAATGTGGAAATAAGCGTGAGGTAAAAGATAAGTGGACCGAAGTACTCCATTTTCATACTTCATTTAATACTTATAAAAATATTGAAGAAAATCGAAGATTTATATCTAATTTTATGTGAAATCATAAAACTTCGATTGATTACATAGTCATATCAGATTTCTGGTTAAGAGAAATATTTAGACAAAGCAAGTTGTAAAGAATAGCCGACTTGTTTCGCAAGTTATGACAGATAAAAGTATTGAAAATTGTGATCCTTTGTGGGTTAGGTACCAGAAGGGGTTCGCAGATATATAACATCTTCACAACAGATCCTGTGTTAGTAAATATTTGGATGAGTGACATTTGAAGAGAGTTGGATGGTTATTTCGCTTTCTTTAAGCGGTTTGTTTTCACAATCATGAACCCTATGTGGGAGAGGTACCAGAAGAAATGGTCCAATTTCTACCATCTTTATAATAGATCTTGTGTTGGTGGAAATATTGAGATGTACCAAGTCTGAATGGAATCGGATATTTATTTCGCGTTTAGATAGATATTAAAAATTGCTACCCTTAGTGGGAGAGGTACCAAAAAGAAGTGGACCAATCTCTACCATCTTCGTACCAGACATTAGATTAATAAAAATATTGTGATGCACGTAATTTGAAGAGAACCGGATGCTTACTTCGGATTTTATAGCCGTTGTTTTTATTCAAAACTTTGACCCTTTATGGGGGAGGTACCAGAAGGAGTAGTCCCATCTCTAACATCATTATAACAGATATTGTGTTGATGGAAATATTTAGATGTGTCAAGTCTGAATGCCATCGGATGTTAATTTTGTGTTTTATGAGCTTCATGGATACTCAAAATTTTGACCCTTTATGGGGGAGGTACTTGATGAAGTGGACCGATATATTCCATCTTCACATCAGATTCTGGGTTAACAAAAGTGTTGTGATATGTGTAATTTGAAGACAATCGGACTATTACGTCACATTTTATAAGAGTTAAAATTATTCATTTTCATTAATTTTGGCCCCTTGTGGAGGAGGTATTTGATGGGGTGAAGTCACTGATTCAAATATTAGGATTTACAAAGTTGGAGCAAAATACCTTCTCTTTCTGTGCAATAAATTATTTTCTTTAAAAATGTTGACATTTTGTGGGGGAGGTACTAGAAAGAGTGGACCGATATTGCTGATCTCCGAACTCGATATAACTTTGAAAATAATATTACGATATACCAAGTTTGGATGAAATATGGTACTCCCCTCGAGAGTTATGGTGCGCATCAGCCAGACAGGCAGACGGACGGACAGCGCTAGATCGACTCCAAATGTACTGAAACGGATTTGGTCCAAAGATACCAAGGTTCTAAAACCGTTATTTCGTTTGGCTTTGAAATATGACTGTGGGCATAATAAAATTGATTAATAAAAACATAATCTGAGAGCATTTAGTTTATTGTGTAAATCATAATAGCCTTACATTTTTTAAACTTATCCCTTTGATAAAATCTCTTTGTCAAAAGGAATATTGTAAACATATGATTGCACATTAAAATCATTCTAAAATCAAAAATTATCTAACAAGCGATTTAAGGACTTGCACAGGAAGGAATAAACTTAAAGGAGTTTGTGTAAGATTATAAGAGGCTCGATAACCATCTGTATTGCCTTTGTACTGGATGTGCAATACTATTTCTTTGCCACTGCTCCATTGTGGCCATCGTTGAGTCTGGTGGCCTTTTATCACTAAATTTTTATCATCGTCCAGTGAAATTGTTTCCTCTCTACTAGAACCATCTACAAAAACGCTAGAGAATAGAAAATAAAATAAAAAATTAAAATATTCACATGATTGTGTCAGAGGTATATTTACTTAAGTTTCCCTAAAGAGGCAGATTCTGACATAGACATAAAGGTTATTGCCATCAATGTACAGACAAAGAATATCTGAAAAAAAAAATATTACGATCAAATTATTCAAACAAATTTATTTTGCATATTTTGTATGTGTTGGGATGCCGTCTTTATTTTGTTGTTGCAAAATAGTCAGTTATTGTTTATGGGAGCGGTTGTAGGATTTGGAAGAAATGTTAATTTTCTTTATTACGGCTGAGCTGGTTTTTATTGTCGAAGTTGTTTTTTCAATAACTACTAAATATTCCTCCGACAAAAAAAAAAGAAAAACAAATGAACTGACTTGTCTTTTGGTAAGCATTGCCATTTTTCTCCACCACACAATATATAACCATTGTTTTTATTAGCACAACATCAATGAAAATGAGCCTGAGTATTTGCAACAATTTTATTTTATTTTAAAACTTAATACCTTTAGAATCATCGCTATGATGTCTTCTCTTGTAAATGTGCGACTAGTTAGTTGTTCATAAATATCTTCACTATTTATATTAAAACATTGTTTATATTCTGGCAAAAACTTGTTTTGTTTTTATACCCTCTACCATAGTATGGAGGGTATATTAAGTTTGTCATTCCGTTAGTAAGTAAGACCCCACAAAGTATATATATTTTTGATCAGCATAAAATTCTATGTCGATTTATCAGTGTCCATCCGTCTATCCGTATGTGGAAATCACTCTAGCACCCGAACGAAATGAAGTAGGTTGATAAAATTTTACTCAAATGTGTATTATGTCTGCAGGACTGTTGGTATTGAAAATGGGCCATGTAGGTCCACGTCTTCGTATAGCCCCCATATAACGGTACCTCCCGATATGTGGTATTTTGATGACTTTAGCGTCATTATTTACCGGAATTGTTTCATATTTCGCATTGGAAGTTCGTAATGGATACTACAGCCTATGAAAGAAAATTGTATGTTCAGGTTCACGTCTTCGTATAGCCCCCATATAACGGCACCCCCCCCCCCCCCCCCCCCCGATATGAGGTATTTTGATGATTTTAACGACATTATTTACCGGATTTATTTCAAATTTTGTATTTGAAGTTCGTAATGAATACTTCATCCTATGCCAGAAAATTGTCTCTGCAGGATTATGACAAATCCCTGTGCAGGATTATGACCATAATATACGGCTACATTCGGCATTTTTAAGATTTTAACAGATTTTTTTACGGATTTTATATTTTTGAAAATTGTTAAATTTGTACCAAATGGTCCGGCCGAACTTACAGATTTTTTACTTGCTATTAGTACAACATCAATGGAATTGAGCCTGACTTTTTCGCAACAACAAAACTTACAATTTTTTACATAATTAACTCTGTTTTATTTTAAAACTTAACACCTTCATAATCATTGCTATGCTATCTTCTCCTACAAATGTGCGACTAGTTAGTTGGTCATAAAATCTTCACTAATTACATTTAAAAATTTTATTATATTCTGGCAAAAACTATTTTTGGAGATCACCTAAACATCCAAAGGCGCACCTATTCACACATTTCTAAGTGCTTGTGGTTCCCAGCAAAATATTTGAATTAAAAAAATAAAAGATTGAAATTATTTGAATTTTAGTTGGGAAAAACCTATTTTTGCAGTTAATGGATAAAACAATGATATCCTTCAATTCCATATATGTTTTCTGTTTTTTTCCCTATATATATAATTTGTAAAAAAATTGTAAAATAAACTAATTCTAGTGCAGAGTTAAAAGCCTGATTGAGATCAAAGAAAAAGAGTCGAATAATCAAAAAAGATGGCGCTCGGGTGAGTTTAAAGAAGTTTATTGGACAAAAATACGGAAATCTCTTTAAATGTATTATTTAGTTTTTTTTTTTATATTAAAGTTTTACTGCAAAATATGCAAACAAACTGACTGGCATTTTGGCCTAACTCAGGATTAAGGTCCATATTCAAATATTAAATATTTTGAAGGGTTTAGGCAATAAATGTATTTATAATATATCTCAAAGAAATGTAATTAATAAAAAATGTCCGGTTTTTATGCTAAAACTAGAATTTATTATTCCATCAGAAATGAATATAAGTAGTTCCACGTTATTTAAGGCTTTCTCTGGCTCCCTTTGTATGATTTCAAAGATATAAATATTACAACGTGGACTATATCGACTAATTCCTTCACTTTATATGAAATATGTGCAAAGTTTTGGAAATAAGCGTGAGGTAAAAGATAAGTGGACCGAAGTATTCCATTTTCATACTTCATTTAATACTTATAAAAATATTGGTATGTGCAAAATTTGAAGAAAATCGAACATTTATATCTAATTTTATGCGAAATCAAAAAATTTCACAATCATGAACCAGAGAGGTATCGGAAGATATGGTTCGATTTCTACCATCTTTATAATAGATCTTGTGTTGGTGGAAATATTGAGATGTACCAAGTCGCGTTTTATGATATTAAAAAATTGCTACCCTTTGTGGGAGAGGTACCAAAAAGGAGTGGACCAATCTCTACCGTCTTCACACCAGACCTTAGATTAATAAAAATATTGTGATGCAGGTAATTCGAAGAGAACCGGATGCTTACTTCGGATCTTATAGCCGTTGTTGTTATTCAAAACTTTGACCCTTTATGGTGGAGGTACCAGAAGGAGTAGGTTTATATGAAATCTGGTACTCCCCTCTAGAGTTATCAGTCGGAAGGACATTGCTAGGTTAACTCCAAATGTCCTGAAACGGATTTGGTCCAAAGATTAGACACGTTTTGGTTTTGATATATACCCTCTCCAGCCATATGACTGAGGGCATAATAAAATTGATTAATAAAAACATAACCTGAGAGCATTTAGTTTATTGTGTAAATCATAATAGCCTTACATATTTTAAACTTATCCCTTTGATAAAATCTCTTTGTCAAAAGGAATATTGTAGACATATGATTGCACATTAAAATCATTCTAAAATCAAAAATTATCTAACAAGCGATTTAAGGATTCGCACAGGAAGGAATGCTTTTAAAGGAGTTTGTGTAAGATTATAAGAGGCTCGATAACCATCTTTATTGCCTTTGTACTGGATGTGCAATACTATTTCTTTGCCACTGCTCCATTGTGGCCATCGTTGAATCTGGTGGCCTTTTATCACCAAATTTTTATCATCGTCCAGTGAAATTGTTTCCTCTCTAGTAGAACGATCTACAAAAACGCTAGAAAATAGAATAGAAAATAAAAAATTAAAATATTCACTTGATTGTGTCAGAGGTATATTTACTTAAGTTTCCCTAAAGAGGCAGATTCTGACATAGACATAAAGGTTATTGCCACCAATGTACAGACAAAGAATATCTGAAAAATAAATATTACGAAAAAATTAATTAAACAAATTTATTTTGCATATTTTGTTTGTGTTGGGATGCCGTATTTATTTCATTGTTGCATAGTCAGGTATTGTTTATGGGATCGGTTGTAGGATTTAGAAGAAATGTTAATTTTCTTTATTACGGCTGAGCTGGTTTTTATTATCGGAGATGTTAAAAAAAAAAAAAAACAATGGAACTTACTGAGAATTAGCGATTTATTCTAAATACATCTTATCCTTTGGTAAACATTGCCATTTTTCTCCACCACACAATGTATAAACATTGTTTTTATTAGCACAACATCAATGAAAATGAGCCTGACTATTTTGCAACAATTTTATTTTATTTTAAACTTAATACCTTCAAAATCATTGTTATGCTGTCTTCTCTTGCAAAGGTGCGACTAGTTAGTTGTTCATAAATATCTTCACTATTTATATTAAAACCTTTTTTATTTCTGACAAAAACTTGTTTTAGAGATCACCTTAATATCCATCCATCAGTCAATATATAACCATTGTTTTTATTAGTACAACATCAATGGAATTGAGCCTGACTTTTTGCAACAACAAAACTTATAATTTGTTATATAATTATTTTTGTTTTATTTTTAAATTTAACACCTTCATGGTGATAAAAATCTTCACTAATTACATTTAAACATTTTTTATATTCTGGCCAAACTAGTTTTGGAGATCACCCAAACATCCAAAGGCGCACCTATTCGCACATTTCTAAATGCTTGTGGTGCCCAGCAAAATATTTGAAATTTTGAAAAAAAGTTTGAAATTATTTGAAAAAGTTAGGAAAATCATATCAATCATGTATCGTATCAAGATGCGAAAATGGACAACATCGGCTTACGCCATCAAGTACCACTCCCAAAAAAGGGTCAAAATTTTGAATAATTATAACTCTTATAAAATGTGATGTAAGTGTCTATTCCGAAATAAGCCTCCGATTCTCTTCAAATTACACGCATAACAAAATTTTTATTAACCCAAGGTCTGGTGTGAGATTGGGATATATCGGTCCACTCCTACATTTTGCGTATCCATGAAGCTTATAAAATGCGAAAAAAAACATCCGTTTTCATTGAGGCACATCTCAGTATTTCCACAAACACAAGATCTGTTATAAATATGGTAGAGAGCGGACCATTCCTCCTGGCACCTCTCCTACAAAGGATCAAAGTTTTGAATAGCCAAAATGCTCAAAGAAAGCGAAATAAGCATCCAACTTTGTTCAAAAGTCATTCATCCAAACATTTTTGCTAACGCAAGATCTGTTGTGAAGATGATGAAAAAAGGCGCTCGGATGAGTTTTAAGCAAGTTTATTGGACAAAAATGCGTAAATCTCTTTAAATGTATTCTTTACATTCCACATTTATTTTATTTTAGACCTGTATAATAGTTTTTTTTTTTTGTATTAAAGTTTTACTGCAAAATATGCAAACATACTGATCGGCGTTTTGGATTAGGATCCGGATTAGGGCACATATTCAAATATTAAATATTTAGAAGGGACATATGTATTTTCAGATTTTATTTATATTATATCTTAATTAGAAAAAAATATCCTGTTTTTATGCTAAAACTACAACTCTTATTCGCTTCTTTATGGCCAGTTTACTCATCAATTTGAAGTCATATATTTTCTATTAATAAAAGTGATTAATCAGAACAAAACTTAATGAGAGTATTTAGTTTATAGTTAAAATCAATGTAGCCTTAAGTTATTTTTTTAATTATTCCTTTGATAACATCTGTTTGTTATGAACGTTGTAAACATGTGATTAAAATTACCCAGAACATGATTTTAAAACCCTTACAGGATAATGTGCAATGAAAGGATTTTGTGTAGTATATTTAGAGTCTGGATAAGCATCTTTATTGCTTTCGCTTTGTGTACGCAATACCATTTGCTTTTGGTCCATTTTTGGGCATTCCGCATCCTTGTTTCCTGAATCGCTACAAAATACAAAAAAAAAAATTATATATGTATATAAATATATATATATATATATATATATATATATATATATATATATATATATATATATATATATATATATATATATTACTACGGCATATTTACCTAGGTTGCCTCATAGAGGCAGATTCTGACGTAGACACTAAGAATATTGCCATTAATATACACACAAAGAATATCTGAAAATATTACGAAAGACAAAAATAGTCAAGTATTTTATGTGGGAGCGTTGATAAGATTTAGAACAAATGTTAGTTGCTTGTGGTTGGACATAAAAAGTTTTTGTCCTCGGTATAGTTGAAAAACTCCTTAGATAAATGTTCCCCTGATAAAAAAAAAACGAACTGACGAGGATTGGTGGCTCTTTCCAAAATTATGTCTTCTTCTTAATAACATTGTCACTTTTTTCCAACTGGTAAATATTTTAAAATTTTGTTTTATTTTTAAACTTAATACCTTCAAATTCATTGTTATTCTATCTTCTCTTAGAAATGTGCGACTAGTTGGTTCGTCATAAAAATCTTCACTATTTATATTAAAACAGTTTTTATATTCTGACAAAAACTAGTTTTAGAGATCACCTAAACATCCACATTTCTGAGTGCGTGTGGTATCCCAGCAAAATATTTGGTATCGAAAAAAAAAAAAACTTTGAAATCATTTTAAATTCAGTTGGTAAAACCTGCGCGAATCTACAATATTTGTAATATTTCTCGGTACCATAAAGGGAAAATCGGTTATCGTAGTAAATTTTTTTTACATTCCTGCAGTTTTGGAACACATCATGAATGTTTTTGTGGTCTTTGGACAATAAATTTTTAAATTTTAGGATAAAACAACCCTCTATCTCGTAAAATATTTTGTGGAATAACCCTATAATAAACGGAAATATTTTTCCAATACAAGAATTTTCAACGCCCAAAAAATGAACTTTCTCAGTTGGCACCATTGAAATCATGGTAATATCAAGAAGATAATGTAATTTCAAATAAGCATGTCCATCTCTGTCATTTTCTGTACTTTCCATTGTCAAATTTCATTAATAAAATGTTGTCAAATAAAAAATGTTGTCATTTATCTGACATTTACTCGAGACAGAACTTTACCAGTTTAAGATGTCTAGTCATAATGCCAAGATGCTTATGAAGAACTAAAGACTTCAAAAACCCATCAAAACAACTGTCGTCAACCATCTTAGCAATCGACAGCAAATAATCGATTTTACCTTTTAAGCCGATAAGTCAAAACTCGGCCTCTAAATCCCTATTGCCAATTGCCAAACGAACGAAAAAAACGACAGACGTGATACGGTCTGGCAAATTTCTTTAAGTTGATTGTCGTTAGAAGATTTGTCCAAAAAAAAACGAAGAAAATCCGTGTAAAATTGCAAACAAAACCAAGGCCAAGTTACCGAAAGCAAAGAAGAAAAAGCAAAAGCAAATATATCATTAAATCCTTGCTCAACTAACATAAAATACGTAAGCAATTAGAAATTAGTGCCCGTTGTCATAATTTACACAAAGCTAACGAAACGACAGAGAGAAAAAACCAACAAACAACAACAAATTGTGAAACTCCAATTGTTTGTGCATGTATTTGTGTTTTGTAGCTTGAAAAAAGGTAAATTATTGAACAGTGGTTATTTTCTCAAAAAAAAGTGTGAATTCTAATTGTTTGAATGAAAGAAAGCTAAAAAAATTAAAGGAAAATAGCGAATAAGCAGAAAAACGGTAATTTACAACAAAACCCAACCGCAAACAACAACAAAAATAAAAAGAAAGAAAACGAAACGAAGTATACGTAATTTGGTCATATCATATTGCAAAAGCAGAGAGAAAAAAGAAGTACAACAAAAACAACAACAGCATCAACTCTAATACCAACAACAACAACACTAAGCCACAACATTAACCCACCAGCACAGTGAGCAATAAAAAGAACAAGTGACGAATGGAGGGGACCTTTTAACAGCTTGAACTAAAACGTTTTTCTGTGCTGCTGCTATTGTTTATAAAACATTGTATGTGTGTCAGTGTGTTTGTTTTGTTGTTGCAAAACAAAAACCAGTGCAATTTTAAGAAACAAGAAATATTTAAAATATTTTTGTTATACGGGGCATTAAACCACCTAGAAATTATTACTCTCTTTAAGGTAAGTAGTTGCCAAATGTCACAATATGTATTTATTTACAGTTATATACTTCCTTTTTGGCGAATATTTTGTGTTTGTTTCTTGTGCGTTTCATGACAAATAATCTCTCGAGAGTTTTTTTCTTTTCTCTCTTGCCCGCTTTTTTTTTTGCAATCAATTGAGAACAAAGTTGCCACCTACACAAAACCACCCTGCAAAAATCCAATTGGAACTGTCATTGTGATATCATGTGTAAGCCATAAGAATTATTCTTTCGACCAAAGTAAAGTAATATTGTGCTAATTGTTTTATAAATATGAACTTTTTATTTATTTTAATTATTTTTTATATAGTTAGAAATGTCTTAAATATTGAAATGCGTGACGTCTGTCGGCGTTTTGCATGCAGCATCACGAAATACAGGTTTGTTTGTTTTTCATAGAGGAATTTAAATGGAACATTTATAATTGTTTTTTTTTCTATAGAAATGAGAGGCGAAAAAGAAAGATGAGGTCGGTATTTTGAGGCGTAGTTGATTTGTCATTGAGGATTTTAAAAGGCCTTGATCTAGCACAAATGATCAAATCTAAAGACTAGAGGTAGAACGTAGATAAGAACTTACCCGACTTCTTTCCTAATTTCGTGTGGTAGTCCAGGTAAAACCACCTGTAGAAGAAAGCAATATGCATGGGGAGTTTAACGTCACATGCCCAGGCAGCATCAACGACAACTGCAGCCAGAAATTCTTTGAGAGGAGATTTTGTTGAGTTTTTGTGGTAGCTATGCCGAGAGCCATTTTCAATCTTCAAAGGCCAAAATCATTCTATACCAAAATGTCCTTGCAGAAGTCATGTCAAGTCATCTAAATTCGAAAGACCTAACCAATGAGTTCTAACATTCGCATAAACTTCAAAATCCAGCCGAACTTATTCTTGGCTGGGTGTTCAAATTGTTTCCAATCAGTCCTAAATCTCCCAAAATCCACAATCTCAGCCGATTATGCTTTGCAGAGAAATAAGTAATTCTATGTATCACGATCAAAATCTATCATACCAGGCCGTTCCGTAGCAATAGTAAGGCCGGCTGGTAAAAAATGTATATTCTCTACATAAACTCAATGTTGGGTACTCAGAAAACTATTCTCCCGGCGACAGGCAATTGGGAACAAATCACTCGATTGTGTCTTCAAATTGTTTCCAGTCAGTCCTAAGTCTCCCAAGATGCACAATCTCAGCCTATTCTGTATATCGATTAGGCCTTGCAGAGAAGCAAGTAAATCAATGTATCACAATCAAAATCTGCTTAGCAGAATCCATCATACCAGGTCATTCTGTAGCAATATTAAGGCTGACTGTAGCTAGTAAGGCTCTACAGAAATTCAACGTTGGCGTTTAGCAGCAAAAAAAGTCCCAAACAGGAAAAATTGGATTTCAAAACCACTTGGAAAAATGTCATCAAACCCACTTTGCATCATACCCTGATTTTGCGTATACAGGGTGAGATGAAAAAACTGCAACCAACTTCAGACTGCTGTCATTTTTAAGTCACTCGTCCGACAGCTATTAAAATTAGTCCAGTGACAGCTCATTGCATTGTTTACAAGCCCACAAAAGCATTTTAGTGAAAATTTTCCAGAAAAAAAGCTCGACGTCAAGAATGTGGACAAAAGGAAACATCAACATCAGCAGAAATGGTTCGAACAGTAATGAAGCGACTTGATCGAAACCCGCGTCGCAGTGGCCGAAATATGGCAATATCCCATTCAGAAAATATTGAAAAATGAGCTCGGGGTAAAGCTATTGAAATCGCAAAAAATACAAGAACTTACACTGCAACTGAAAGATAATAGAATAAAAAGGGCTAAAGAGTTGCTTCGATTGGCCGAAAGTGGGGAACTGCCGAATTTGGCTTTCTCCGATGAGAAAACAAAACATTCGTTGTCCAGCAGTTTGTAAACAAACAAAATTATCGTGTTTACTTGCCGAAGAGGTCAGCTGAAAATGTGCACCTTCGAGTGGCCACCAGAACTCAAGCGCCGGCCATGGTGATAGTGTGGGCCGCCATAACAGCCGATGATGGCTCTTCGCTCGTATTAATCGACCGTGGCATCAGAATAAATAAATATTATCGCGAAAATATTCTGAAGGGTGTATTAAAGCCTTGGGCACGCAACATTTTGGCCGCAGATCTTGGGCATTCCAACAGGACTCAGTACCATCGCACTCAGCACGCGCCACCCAAGAATGTTTTCAACATGAGATTCCTCGTTTCATTTCCAGCGCACAATGGCCACCAAAATCTCCGGATACCAATCCGTTGCTCTGGAGAGCAAGGTCCCATACCACGTTGGGCGCCAAGGACACAGTAACAACGTTTTAAATTAAAGAAAAGATAATTGTGTATTCCCTAGCTTTTAGATGAGATGAACGACTTGATTGTCTATCCCCCTCTTTTTATGCAATGTTAGGATGATTAGATATCCAGATTATTTATGATGGCAATGCCAACTACATTGCTATTTTAAGTTAGTAGTATATTCAAACTATTTCCAGAAAAGTAGAAATCATAATACTTCTAAAGCATTACTGCGGAAAAATTGCATCCTTCACCGATTTTCATTGCATTTTTTTACCGCAAACTACCTTCTCTACATCTCCCATACCCATGTTGAACAATATATATATATAAGTACACCTGTTTTTCTTCGTTTACCTCCATAGCTGTAATTGCAATTGCAACAATCTAATCAATCATTTCAATTCAAATTAATTTTGTAATTTCCTATTACAAAACTAAACAGTTTTTGTTGCAGTGACAGGGTTAGTCTGACGGCGGACAGCAATGTTCAGCATTCCCATCATGTTTTTATGACAGCAATTTCTCCGCCATCAATGCATGTTTACTTACCCTTTTTCGATTTGCTATTTATTCCCGCCCCATTGCCCTGCCTGTCTGCCGCTCCATTGACAATAATTTCATTTTGTAAATTACTTCCTACAACCAAAACGAAATTGTTTAAATTGTGTGTTGAGAAGAAAACAAATATTGGGTAAGCAAAAACCTGTTGACTATTTGTTGATCAGCTGAGTGTTGTTGTTTTTTTTTTTTTTGTAAATGAATTAACAAAAGAAAAGTCACAACAACACGCATCAGCAAAATCAGTGCTGTAATAAAAGTTTCTCTAGCAATGAAAAAATTCAATTCAATTCAAATTTTCCCAATTTTATTGACTCATGTTTTGAATTTGTTTGGGTTTTTTTCTCTCTATCTCTCTCGTTTTTCCTTAGTTCCGTGTGATATCGGTCTTTATAATTATACTTCATTATTTTAATTAAAATCAACAAAAATATATAATTATGTTTCTTGATTCCCTGTTTATGGCGGCACCAGCTATCTAAGCATCGGTGCCCATCAAAATACCCATTGCGGCTGCGCTCTTCACATGGAATTAAAATTAGGTTAAAGATTTGACTTTTTTGAAAAAAAAAGCAGATAAAAAAATAAAATCATTTTAATGAGTGTTTTGTTTGCATACATTATGCGTAGATACATTGGTGTTCAAAATTATTGTACAGAATAAAAAAACGAATACAAGACCATTATAAGAATATTAGAACCCTTGTGGATATACAGGATGAGATAAAAAGCTACAACGCCCTAATTTTTACATTTTTTTAAATTTTATTGAAAGAAAGCAAAAATGTCGGAAATAGCATCAAATTTTAAAATAAGTTTAGATTTGTTCGAATTGGTCACCTTTGGCACGAATTATGGTCTTCAAACAGCCAATGAAACCGTCACACGCTGTCCGAATGTTGCTCTGCGGTAATTTGGCTCATTCTCGGCGAAGCGCTTTCTTGAGGTGATAAACACTTTGGCATTTTCTAGTGCCAACCTTGCTTCTCAATATACTCCAGACAGTCCAACGGATTGGTATCCGGAGATTTTGCTGGCCATTGTTCGCTGGAAATGAAGCGAGGTATCTCATTTTGTAACCATTCTTGGATGGCACGTGCTGAGTGCGATAGTGCTGAGTCCTGTTGGAATGTCCAAGGTCTGCGGCCAGAATGTTTGCGTGCCCAAGGCTTTAGTATACCCTCCAGAATATTTTCGCGATTATATTCGGCATTTATTCTGATGCCCCGGTCGATTTTTTATACCCTACACCATAAGGTGGTCAGGGTATTATGTCTTTGTGCATTTGTTTGTAACAGGCAAAAGGAAACGAGATAGACCCGTAGTTCCTTTTGATGATCTGCATAGAATCACATTCTGAGTCGATTTATGCATGTCCGTCCGTTCGTCTGTCCATGTATTTTTGTAAACAAAGTACAGTTCGCATTTATTGCCCTATCCAGATAAAATTTTGCACAAATCATTTGTTTGACCCAAGGACGAACCCTATTGAAATTGGAGATAATCGGTAAAATTTAGATTAGCCATAAAATTTCGATAGCCCATATATATCTTCGTCCGATTTACATTTTATTGTGCACTAAACGTTTAATATACGCCCGAATAGTATGGAATTTTGCACATACAAACAAATTAGGCCTGAAAATCAGAATGCCAAATTTGATCGAAATCGGTTCAGATATAGCTATAGCTTCCATAGATATTGTTCATCCGATTTGTTGTTGTAGCAGTAGTACATGTGTGTGTTTGTGTTCTGCTAATCTGGTTCCAGCTCCAGGTTTAGAAATTCGGCCACTTTAACGGTCTGTAGCCAGAGATCCTCTGGAGTGAGTTGGGTAGGTTTGGCTGAGCAATTAAAAAGGTGTAGCGTATTGTGCGGGCCTGTATCGCACGCCGGGCAGGCGTCACGCACATCTTCATCAATTCGTGCCCAATACGAATTGAGGCGACTACACCATCCTGAACGTAATTGCGCCAAAACTACCCTGGTTTGTCTACACAGCTGAAGTTCTTCGGCTGCAATGGATGGGGGGTGGACTCCGAGGACGGCATTCACTTTATAACTGCTAATAGCATCCGCGACTGCATCGGTGTGAATGCCACTC